ATTTCATGAAGTTGTTTTCGTAGAATTATTGAAATATTGTTGCATAGATCCCTACATAGTGCATTTTACCTTGGCTGTGATTACATTTTATTATTCTTATTTGATTTTAATATAATAACTATTATTTATACTGACATATTATCTATACCACGGTTCTTAAAAAACATAAACTTTTGGTAACATCTTATATTTATATTATAACCTCCATGCATGACGTTTAAAATAAATAAAACTAAATCTTTTCTTTCATGAAATATGGTTTCCGCAGAATAGTCTGGTAGATCATAGATCATAGATCCCAGCCTGCATTACCTTTGCCGTGATGGCGTGATCGATGGACACAGAGGCTTGACAAAAAATAGTTTGTGTGGCTCGTGCGGGAAGGCAATTTTAGTCTTGCGTCACCCGCGACTGAAATAGCTCACTTACCGCCTTTTCCACACAATATACAATTAATCTGTCAAAGTGTAAAGTATGATTTGATGAATTCAGTTTAAGTATCTGCTTGCAGAAATGGTACCAATAGGAAATTAGTTGTATATATCATTATTGACAATTTATTATTTCCATCCATTTATTTTAATATGATATTGCAACTTTGATCAGATTATTTAAAAAAAATAAAACAAATAATTAAGTTATAAAAACACTTATTTTTTAGGTAATAACACTCTGATTTTATTTATTCGAAGTTTAGTTTTCGTGTTTTAAATACAGACCATGATATTGCTAGAGTTTCTATGTCTGTTTATAATGTGTAAAAAAGGTATAAAGAAACGTACAAAAGTTTACTCTAACTTAAAGAAAAAAAAATATTTGATTCAGTGTGCTACGGTATTTTATTTCAAAAGTTAGAACAAACAGTGATTATAAGAACTTGGCATTATTTTTATTGACTTCATACCTACAAAACAGAAAACAATTTGTTGAATTAAACGGTATTCAAAATAATGAGTAGATAGTATACTTCCTAAGGAGTTACAGAGTGGTGCAATTTCTTTCTCCACTACTCTTTATTTCCCTCCTAAATAATACATTTTTTTTACTTTTAAAACTAAAAGTTGTTTTTACCGTAGATAATATTATAAAACCCTCATATTTTATTGCAGTTATTTTTTGAAATACGTTTTGAACTTTGGTGTTGTTAGATAGGTACACCGGACCATCATTAAAAGATAATATATTTTATAAACTTAATTAAAAATTGTTTATTTTTCTGTTTTAATTGTTACAAGTGATCTTAATTTCTCCCTTATTACAGTACTAACAGCAATTGTTTATTTGAATATTTGAATTTCTGAATTCTTATGGTATAAATTACCTACCTATATTATTTTACATAGGTAATTAAAGTAGGTGACTTTCTAGTTTCTAAGAAAAAAAAATCATACATATTTATTTTGGGCGCCTATATAGAATTACTCAGTGACATACATAATATATACTGACACAAAGTACAAAGTATTTACATTGATCTGAGAAGTGTAATTATAATGTAAGTTAGAAACATTATTTATGTATGTATAGAGTCATGGCAGGTCCTCGATTCTAAATGACTGAACTGGTGTATATAACATTTGTCATTCTATCTTACCAAACATTGATATATTAATTAAGTATATTGTATAATGGTATAGGTACACGATAATTTATAGATGATGTTTAAACGAGGTATTTTGTTAATTCGATGAATATATGCATGAGAAATACTGCACTTGTAATGCAGAATTTAAAATTGTATAGAAAAGGTAAAAGTTATTGAAAAAATACTTTTTTTTTTTAAACAGGCAAACGGCTATCCTAAACAGTTTCTATAGTAGGTATAGTTGAAAACATAAAATAAGCGATCCTTACCTGTCACGCAGAACTGCTTTAATACTACCATGCGGATATAGTAGAAATAGTTTTGAGATATGGTACTGGTGGGGGAAAAACCACTACCTAGGTACGGAAAGAATGCATTACGAAATAATTGGAACCGCAATATGTAATATTTCATCCGAAGATACATACGCTATACGCATGATCATTTATGACACGAAAAATGTTGTGGATTACACAATGACCTAATGCAGTCCTCGTTATTTTTATTACATATAATTCGAAAGACTTCGTGCACGTGATGCCCCTTAAACGCATTACGAAAACTAAAATTTAATACACCGGAGGTAAAGGTCCTATTTCAATAGTATAACGTTGCTAGTTGTAGTCATATTTTTTGATATAAAAATGTTCATAATAAGGTTTCTTTTTGGCGCAGTTATAGTCCTGTACAAGACCCTATAATATTACATTTTTATTGTAAAGGAATAAAATAAAGAAATTATAAGTAGCCTTTAGAATATCATTCTGAAGAGTCTGTCAATATAGTTCAACTATACCTACTACAAATTCCACGATTGTTAAAATCTTAAAACAAAACTTCAGAAGTTTTTAAAAGTTTTGGTTGTAAAAAAGAAATTTAAAAGATTGGATATAATATAATTCGATGAGATACGAGTACAGACCCTATTATTCTTAATATTTTTTTTCTATACATTTTAACTATATGGAAATAAACATCAACGTATCGTAGGTTGATTAATTATTTTAATGAGTAGGCATGCAATACAATAATACTTTTAATATAATATGCATTTTGTTGTATACGATATACGTGATAATAGCTTAGTTCTTAATATACTTATATAGTTTAATATTAGTTATAGAATAAATGTAAGTTTTTTGGCGAAAATTAAATCAACCTACCGTTATAATAATATTAAAATACCTAAACTACTTAAATAGGAATATCAAAAAACATATTATGAAAATATTATATACTTACTTATTACTTTGATCAGAAATGTTTTTCGTGCCTATGCAATGATTTAAATTTAACACATACATTATATACATTATAATACTGTAATGACTCACTCAATTACGTTCTACACTTGACACCTACAATTGTAGTACAGTACAGCTGTTACATCCTTTCCTCCTTTTATTAATAAAATATGTCTTATTGAATTAAAATATACAAAATTATGCATGTGCACATAGATTTGAATATAGTAGGTGGGTTACCTACAAAATATTATAAATCCAAGTCCTAACCACTATGCTATTAACGTGTATAGGTTTTTTTTTTTTTATACATACCCTTTTTATTCAATAATGGAAGTTAAATTATAATTTATATTTAAAATAGATTAAAAACTCGATAAAAATTGTTTTATATTACAAAATATTTTATGTATAAAACCAATAAATACTTTTATAAGGTATTTTTTAATATAAAGATCTAGTATCTTTGTATAGCCAAATATAACTAAAAGTTTTAAATTATATTTTAAGTTCAAAACACGAATTCCAGCTCGGGTAGTATAAATAAATCATGGAACTTAAACGGCTTATGGTAGGTTTTGTGTTAGAATTTATGCTAAACATATCTCGATCCATTAACGATGGAATAATAATATGGTACCTTTCGAATATTCTTGTGGCTAGGATATGTTTGTATAAATATATCATGGTACACACTGTTGTCATTGATATGAACCTCTTAATTAACTTGATGTCTCTTACCTCGAATGTTACATAATTACAAAAAATAAATAGGTAAGTCGAATTAATTTTTATGCTTTTGAAATTCAAGCTATCGAGACTGAACAATACCTATATATTTCGTTATTCACAAACTGTAATAAATATATTTATTCAAGTATATTTTAATTTTCTTATAATTGTTGTTATTTTTTAACAATTAAATTATCATCCTCTGAATTTTCTATTTTCTTAGTGAAATTAATGACCATAATATATGCACAGTCATGGATCTAATTTAAAATTATTTATATAAAGTAAAACGATTTTCATGCTGTCTGACTAACTTGTCATAAATTAATGTTGTTCTATGTAGGTGCTTTAGTAATGTTTAAACGAGCACACACAATATTTTGTTTACTTGTTAAAAATGTATTCATTTAAGGAGAATGAAGAGAATGAATATAATATTAAGCTTCAAGTTTCAACACATCAATTGAGAGGTTTAGTCACTTGAAACTCCTCGTTTAAATTTAATATGTTATCTGTTTATCACATATAAGACTCTCTTTATGGCTTTTTCAATACTCGTTAAATAATATAATTATCGTACTAATATTCATAACTGTCTAGTAAAAAAAACCTTGTTGTTTTTGCCGTTAAAATGACATGTGAACTGTACACAGGCCAAGATTCACCATGCGTATCTACTATATTATTTACATTTTAAAGAATAATTTACGCACATTAACTTAGAAAGTAAATTGTTCCAAATAAACTGTCAACATCTCTGTAAAACATTTTATGATATTATGAACTGTGAACACTGTAAAAAAGCGGAATCACTAAAGTAAATGTATTCCTACGCGTTTATTTAAAAATTTAAATTAGCGTTTATCAAAAACTAAACAACGTTTTCTCGTTTATAATCCTAGTGTTATGCACGTATACAAGACCCTTTATACACCGCAAGTCTCATTCATTTTGGTAGTTATTGTACCTAATGTTTATTATTATATATTTAGAACAGTATATAATAGTAGGTACTCGTGGATTCTCGGTCCAACAGTTTTAAATAATTCCGGTGTTGTAGATAGGTATATGAAGGAAACACATTTTGATAAATGCCTGCATTACGTGGTTTTAATTGTAATCCAAGGGAAATAATGATAAATATTTATTCATCCTCTTATCTTTCTCAACGAAAGGTTGTATACAATTACTTAAAAAAAAAAAAAATAACAAAAATACCTGACGAAAAATCAGTTGTAATACAATATCTATTGTGTTTAATTTGTATGTTACCTACCTATATACTATTATATATTGGCGTGTGCCATGGCAAACTGAACGCGTCCATTCTCGGTCTTTGTGTTTGAATAATACAAGGAAAACAACTATCGAGAAAGTCTTTTTTTTTTAAATTATAATTTGGTCTTCTGATTTCTTAATTTTTGTTTTTTCTGTCATAGACGATGGCGAACAACAGTCAGATACCGTCGACCAGCAGCAGAAGACATCCAACTACGAGCCGCTAGAGAGGCGAATGACGCCTGGAGGATCGATAACGTTCACCTGTAGGATCGGATTGATCGACCAGGGCCGACAGAGCATACTTTGGTATCACGACGACAAGCTCATTTCGATATTGGTATGCATGGTTGATAATGTCCCACCAAAGGGTCAATACTTGTGTGCAAAAATAATAAATACGTAAAATTTCGAATGGTCGAGTTGTGCACCACTTTGAAATTATATTATTGAATACTATTCGATACTTAATTTTTAAAGAGCTGAATATAGACAATTGTCTACGCTTGGCAGTGGCGCGTAACATAGGGTGCAAGTGTTGGTCAGGCAAAATCTCAAATATGGATGGGTATTGATAGTAGAAAAATAGGACATTTTATAGGCTGGTATAACAATATTATGAGGGGTAGGTCACCTAAAATCATTTGAGCAACATACATTTTTTTTTTTTATGATATACGCCACTGACGTGGGTGTACGTGTCGTGTGGATGTGTGCGTAGTAAGTTATCATAAGCGTGCGGTGACTCGTGTAAAAGAGATGGCGAGGCGCTCACCCATACGTACACAAATTACACCAATCTGTAGTACATGAGTAATGCTTTTCATTAAAAAGCAAAACTTTGTGTCAAACGTACCGAGAGAAACTTATTATACGATAAGAAATCTGAAAACATTTAAATTTGTTATAAAGTAAACTTTATAACAAATTTAAATCTAAAGGTTTAGATCGATCAACCCAATTTTTTTCAATTCTGTTTAATCACTGTTTAAGAATTCTTCAATTTTTACATTTTAAATCAAATTTAAGGAAAAAATAAGAATTACATTTTGCAAACTTCAAAATTAATTTAAATATGTTTTCACTTTTTAGATTCTTACCACATATTACTAGTTTTATTGAGATGTAAGAAATATAATATACCAATGTATTGGCGATGTATGATTTTGTCAAAAAATACAATGGGTATCGAATCCCCAAGTGATTTTTGTATTTGCACGCATAGGTAATTTAATGAAGGTTATAGGAGGTATTTCTGATGATGTCACATATGACTTGATAAAAACGAAATCCAAAACTCTACCCCCAGGGCTCGATTAAAATTATTATTATTCCTTCGATTGCGATCGTTTTACTTGACCATGAGACATTGTAGGTCCCACATATAAATATACAATAATAATATTGTGTTTAATAACGGACGTAATGATAGTAATAATAATTAAATTACATGATCTATATTAATCACCCGTGTACCACACGCTACACATTCTACGAGGATTTATTTATTCGACTGCATATGCGAGCTCGATAAATCACACGTGACACGTCAAAATTACCGGACATAGAAACAACGCAAAATATAATAAATAGACAAATAATTTTTTCCCGTTTGAAATGACAATAATAATAATTCATAAACTATTTTAACCGGCTTGTGAAATACATACGTGCGTATAATGTTTACAAAAATATACATTTTGCCGAGCTCGCCACAGAATAATATAATAACATTGTGTGGCAAGCGGTGATTTTATATAGAGTTGTTTACTTTTATGAAACACTAAAACATTGTATCACAAATAATAATTTTGATTTCAAATGATTTGAAGTGCTCTCATTCGTCAAAAAATTTAAAAGATAAACAAAAATAGTCCAAATTCTATTTGGGAGAATTTCATATCCGCTCGTAAATCTGTTTCTTGTAAAGACATCCACTGAATATTTCGTTTAAAATTGTAATTTATTTAGACGAAAATCATAAATTCGTTTCAATTGATCACGTATTGGTATGGCGCTATTACGATATCGTCATTATACAGTTTTATTTGTTTTCCACTCTACAAATATAATAAGGGACGGAGGGGAACGTTATGATTTGGATGTGAATTATGACGAGTACGTTGATCGTAAATGAAACGAGGCTATTATTTTATTTATTTATTATTCGGTGACTAAAAATAGTTTTATTACCATTGATAAACTCCGCAGAGACAATTGTATTCCTAATTTATTATTATTAATATTGAAGTTGTCCTTTGTATTATTTTTAATGAATGAATCCGATATAAGCACCTAATAACTGGATAGCATAAATGCGTTTATAACCTAAACGATAACTACAATTTTTATTTTTTAATATCTCGTTTTAATCAATTATATTGGATTGTAATAGAATAATATATAAATTATTATTAATAGCTTTGCGGTACACAATAAGGTTGATTAATAGCTACCTTCGTTCGGACGAGGGTATCATTGTACATAATACCATCGTAATTAGTTAACATTATACAAACGTAAGTTCTACTTGTTCAGGCAATATATTTTTCGTTCTCTTATAAAATTCAAATTAAATCTCAGAACCCAAACAACTCATGTAAAAGTCATGATAAGACCAGTCTAGTCATATAGTATACAGATTTAGGGCCTTGCCAAACCATCGAAATTGCACTCAATCTAATAGCTTTCCTAAATATGTCGCCCCGTAATAATATTACCGATGTCCCATGATAACTAACATAGCATTACATTAAATAGTATACCTGTCCTATGCATTACACAATTATCTACTAATTGTGACCTTGCAAAACTTCATCATAAACGTATTCATTTCAAAATAATCTCAAACACTAACTTTTTAATACAAAATATGGTCTTCCTTACTAGCTATTCCCGATAAAGTGATAACGCTCCTCGCCCTCTAATACGAAACCTGGAAACGCTAAATAATAAACTTTAAGATAAATAATGCAGTTAGGTATTACCATTGATTTTATAATATAATATTATATTGTGGTATTAACAATGGGTAACTTGCTCGTCATGACATGCATTCCTCTTCAAATTATTTATCATTGTAATTACCTACATATTTTAACCACATAATTGAACAGATTTGTATCAGATTTAAAAAAAACCCTTGTAATCGTGAGTCGTGGATCCCAATTAAATTAAAAAACAAACGTTGACAATTATTCTAAAAATTACTCTCGTTCCGCACGTTTCAGCCTAGAATTTAATCTCGAGAGAATAGGTACTTTAGGTAGGTCACTTTAGTATGTTAGTGTCGTGGTGTCTTTTTAAATACGAAAACGATTAATTATTGCATTTGTAAAACTACTCCAAACATAGAGTCTTTGAGTCCTATGTAGTTTAACCTTAAATTTAACTTCTTTCCTTTTGTTCTTTTTGTCGTGACTCTTTTGTAAAATAATGAGAATTTTGAGATTCTAACACTCTCGAAGTACCATCCACATGTTAGTTTCAAAAGATTGTATACATTTTTTTTTTTTAAATCAGTTACCATAAAAACACGACATCGTTATAAAAGTAAAGCAAGTTTTCTATATCCGCCAGGAAATTGTCAAGTTTTCATACTTTGATTACCAATACGCATTTAAGACAATTGTATTTAATTGGATATCATCCAACAATAACGCAGTAATAATGATATATTATTATTTATATTACAACAAATGTTTTATGATAATATTCATTAACGGTCTTTCAAACTACTATATTGTAAAGTTATTTTAGTTTTTCAGAATATTTTAAATCTTTATCAATTTCTATGAACTTTGACATATTTTTTTATAATTTTTTTTTAGATTCTGAGAGGAGCAATGAACGTATTAATTAAAAAAAAAAAGAATAGCAGGAATCCATTTTCAACTTTGGGGGGTGGTTTCTGGTAGAATATTGAATCTAGTTAATATTAATGGTAAAAATAAAAAAATTCCCAAATATATGTTTTCGATATTTTGTATAAATACCGATACTAAAATTTTCTTCCTTTGGTCAAGAAACTTGAAAATTAAAATACAAGGTTCCGGATAAGTTTTCATTGTAGTTTTTTAAAAATATTATAAATACATATCCACAATTTGTTTTTATAAATATTTCGATTTAAAATGTTTTCAAAATTCATTTTGTTGTTTAAAATTTATAAAATGTTCAATTTTTATAGTTTTAGGTTTATTTACTTTAATCAAAATATGTTATAATTTCCATATTTTTGTAAATAAATATACCATAATTAATGGTTAACGACTTAACGTAATGTATTGCAATATAGTTAATGATTATATTTCATATGGTCTGAAGATTTGGTCAGTCATTCAACGTTGATGATGGTTTCTGATAAAAAAACCTTTATATTATGCTATTGCTATTACAATATCTTAGTCCTAAGACTTAATACAGTTTAAAAAATATTTAGACTTTACAAGCTTTTTATATCACAAACATATTAACATAATTCTACGATACATCAATATTGACTTATAACTTATTAGTTATTAGTTAAATATATATTTATATAATTATATGTGAACATATTAGTCCAAATAATATAGTAATTATATAATAATAATATTCATGAAATATCCTTAAAAAATAATTTCTATCAGTATCTTTTTTTCAGGATTAAATTTTCATATGAATTTGAAAGGAATCGCCCCATTTTTATATTTAACATATATCCAATGACGAGATACACATGAAAGTTAATACATACTATACAGCAGACGTAGGTTTCCCGGCTTTAAAAAAAAATATTTCAATGAGTGAATGATTCAAACATAGTGTTAAAATTATAATAATTTATATCAGGTATTACATTTTTGAACGTGATTTGTTAGGTAGAAATAATACAATTTAAAATAGGTAATTGATTTCTTCGAAAAAATGACAAATCATAAAAATTGGATTTACAAAATATAATAGGTACATGAAAAAAAAGAAATGATAAGTTGATATCAACCGAACAATTTTTCTGTATTTTCAAGTCTATTAATCAATTCTAAACTGACACTCTGAACGAGAAATGATACTGTTAAAGCTTATCGCCATAAATCTCGCATAGCTGCCTTTGAGGACAAACACGTAGGTACCTAGTATAATACAGGCTGGAAACAGTGAACCAATGTATTCAGTTTGTTTTGAACATAAGTAACATTTATAATAATTATAATACGTAATTCATGTTATTCCATTTTTTTTTTTTAAGTACATCAATGAGCAAAATGAAAAGTAATTGAATGTTTATATTTATTTTTATAAAATTACGACAAGGCAGACGAAATTAAATTAAATAGCCGTAATGCGATATCCAGCTAA